CTTTCTCTTTTCTTCTTTCTGTATGTAACTATTGAGGACTCATTGTTCTCCCATTTACTACATTTATCTTTTTAAAATTTTCTCATTTACTATCGAAAAAAATATAGCAATGTCATTTGGTCCTAAAATGTTTTATTGTCTTTAGGATCATTTGGGTGAGGGGTGAAAACATTAGTGGATCGATGTCAAAATATTGTAATATTTTTATCCTCACGTATACCATATCTCGTGGGATTAAATCATTAACAAGGTCAATTGTCATTTTCTACACACAAGTCTCAGATAGTCCCTTACACCCATCAACAAACAGTACATGGCATTATATATACTCCGTTCAGCCTCTGACAGCAGCATCACTTACCCAGTCCCTACATCACCGTATATAGCCACCATCTAAACATGGTGACCAGAGGCAGTTGTACTTCAATATATATCGATATAGCAACTTGCTATAATTTATGTGATTGAAAGCATGCACTATTGACATAAGAAGGATAGATAAAATGAGATTGCCTGTGTGCATCACTTGGCTACTTTTTTAGTTGTTGAATCATATTAGACAATAGATGATTAACAACCCTCTTTTCAATTGAATGAGAATGAATAAACATTATAGGTTAAAAGATGCGTAAGTAGAGCAACTAAAAAAATGTTGTGCAGTACTCTGTTAAATTATTCAAAAGAAAATAGTTTACCATGAGAAATAAACCCAAGACACGGAATTTTATGTTGGTAAATAGTGTGCAATTGTAATTATTTTATATAAAATATTTATTCATTTCAGTATAATTGCTGCCGATCTGGTCAGGTGATTAGAATTTTTTGTAGTAACTATCCTACCTATTATCTTGTGTTGTTGGTGTTCATTGATTTGATAGTGCCCTGTTGAATGACTAAAGATTACGGCCCTATTTTTTCAATTTTTTGATACTTGCATTGGTTTAAAGTTTTTGTGCCACTTTATGATGTTGAGAAGTATTCTTCTGAAATGTTGGATAGCTCTTACTAAAATTTGCACGAGTTCATATTTTTATGGTGCTTTCCTTTGTGATGGCTGTCTTGGTATGACCAAAGGATTTTGTTTAGTGATATCAATCTCCATGTGATTGCCTTGATCCTAATGGGATTATGGCCCTAATGAGATTATTGCCTTGATCAATGTGTTTAGTGTTGGTGTTCATTGATTTGATAGTGCCCTGTTGAATGACTAAAGATTATGGCCCTATTTTTTCAATTGTTTGATACTTGCATTGGTTTAAAGTTTTGGTGCCACTTTATGATGTTGAGAAGAATTCTTCTGAAATGTTGGATAGCTCTTATTAAAATTTGCACGCGTTCATATGTTTATGGTGCTTTCCTTTGTGATGGCTGTCTTGGTATGACCAAAGGATTTTGTTTAGTGATATCAATCTCCATGCGATTGCCTTGATCTTAATGAGCTTTTCTCATGTTTTATAAAAGGCTCAATTTTGCTCTATTCCGTTACTAGTTTCACTTTTATTTTTTTTAATTACTCAGTTCAATACTTCCTGTCATTAAATAACTATGCTGTAAATTGGTATAATGTAGGCAATTTAAATTGTTGATCCAGTTGGAAGGTGGTTCTACTTGTTTCATCGCCCTTCAGTAGGCAGGAATTTCAGTTGCATAAATCTTTGATCTTTTTTTTTTCTGTAGTGGCGAGGGTGACCTCCAATGTGACTTAGTTTTGTTGGGAAATAGGTTCAGAACTTTCAGTTCTATTGATGCCACTTGTGCCAATGCCTTGTAGAGTATTTATTTACATTGTTTTTTATGACATCAACTTAAAAGTCAGATGGACAAATGACAAATGACCTATACAGCTTGTGCAATTAAGAAGGAATAGTAGGTATGTGGTGTGTGTCTCTTTGTGTGTGTGTGCGTGTGTGTGTGTGAGACAGTGTGTGTGTGTGAGAGAGAGAGAAAGAGAGAGATGTGATGATAATGAACACAGTGATATTTTGTTTTGATTTCCTCTGGATTTTCACCCTACGGCAAGCAAATGGTCGTCTTTTGGTCTAACATAAAGCGTCCAATGTAGTTTATAGAGTCTTCATTATGATTTACTCTAAATTTGTATGTTGCTGGTCATATATATTCTTGTTTTGTTTTTTTTTTTGTGTCAAGGTTACTTTGGTCGTTACGATAATTGTTGGACATAACTAGAATCCCGAGTGTATAGGTCACAAAGTTGCATCCAGTGCCAGTAGTGTGAATGTTATTTGGAGTCATGGCTGGTCTAGAAAATTTGCAGTTTCTGAATTTTGTGTCCTACTCCTTAATAGTATTAGGAGAGTCTTTTAGCTATAAATATGTATTATGACCTTATTGTTTTTATATAGATGATTTTATATGAATTATGGTCGAGTTTTGTGATAAGCCTTGCGAGGGTGTTGTGTTGTCCTTCTTTTTCTATTTTCTCATAAATTATTGACTTTTGGCTTGAATAAAGTGGTGAAGAAACACCAAAGTCATTTTATGTAGGATAGCAATGAATCTAAAAATCAGCATTATTCAGCAGATGTGAACACTAATCATAAATTGTAAATTTGGGGTTGAAGTTTGTAGCTTGTGGGTTAGAGTTTGGATTGGAAGGGAAAGGAAGGGGCGGGTTTTCAAGATTTTGTTCAAGGATATATAGATAAATATATCCCATCTCTTATGGGTTTTTTTGCGCAGATACTTGCTGCAAAATAAACAAAAGAAGAAGAAGAAACTAGGAATCTTAGACCTAACGTTCTGAATTGCATCTTACAATTCGCAAAACATATATTCTCAAATTTTTTGAAACATTGATGGGTCTATATGGGCCTCTTGGTATTTCCTAGCCTAACAAGATTGCACTCCAAAATTAAATTACATATGAAAAATGCCATTTGAACTTAATTCAATGCAACTATTGAATTGAAAGTGGGCTCCATCTAACATTAGTACTTACAACTAATCCAATGATTGCATTGAATTAGGTCCCTACAACATTGCTAATTACATATTGCTAGGAAACTTATATAGTCTATAACTATGAATCTAAATCTAGAAACTTAAGATTCAATTTCAAATGTAGATCCAAAGGACTATCCACAGGTAATACTAATCTACAAGTATGAAAATTAAGAATACCCGACTTTGAAAAAAATAGGAAAAATACCTACAATAAAACTATTAGTATACTAACTTCCAAAAATTAAAAAAATAAGACTAAAACTAGATTCATTTAAAATTATGCAAGGTCCTAAGTGGACTCCACATTATCAAACATGTGCCAAATTATAGTTTGAGCCTTGGGAGCACCATTTTTATGCCCTACAACTTTGCAAGTTTATTGCCACTTGTCTCTCTCATTATTGTTTCCATATTGTTCTTGGAATAAGGTTTGTAGTAGTAGAATAATCCATGGAAGGCTTAGAACCGCCCTTAGATGCATTAGTCTGATTACCAAATCCACACCCAAAGAAGCTTCATCCATTTTTCAACCAAGGTTTTTAAAACTAGGATCATACTTTGGATCCATTGGGGGGAGAGGCTAAAGGATCGTATTTTAAAGTACACCAGAATAAATAAATAACAAGTTAATGTTATGACTTAGGCTTAGGTTATGATATGGGATTGCTTAGATCATGAATCTATTTGCAGTTTGAATTATAAGTTGGGTTCGGAACTCTAAGCAATTGAGAATTTGAGATCGCTAACCTACCCTGTTTCGGGTCATGCGACCCCGGTTCGTGGGACGCTAGGGATATATACGATCATGTTATCTATGGATCGGGATTGAGAATTGTAAGTTCCAGTAAGATTAAAAATATGTGCAAAATTACATATATACAAATCTTAAAAACGGATACTAGACAATCTTGTTTATGTGCAAAATGTAGAAATATTATGAAAAATTTATTGAAATAGAGATAATTAACTTAGGGAAACTACTATTTGGGTGTTGAAGAGAGTAGAAAATCAAAAATAGGGTGTCAATCTGGTGCAATTTTGGTAAGAGTAGAATGTTTTGGTGATAACTTTAAGAGAGATGGAGATAGAAGCAGTGAGACTAGGAAAGTCGAGGGACTGCTGAAATCCCACAAAAAAAGTGGAGGAGAATAAAATGAAACATATAATTTGTTGTGATCACTTGTCGAAAGAGAAGAGAATAAGCTTAACCGTCACTCGTGAATGAAGAGAGCTTCCATAGAGAGAGCTTTTTGTAGCTTTTTCACCCTCTGAAATTATCTAAGACTCAAAAGTGATCGAGATAATCACAAACTCAAATCCCCTCGAATACTCTTTTTTTTCAATATTCTCCTTGGCGGATAAACAACCATTGACAAGTGATGGACCCACATGTAGACAATGAATCCTCTTAGCCAAAATGGGAATTGAAGTGAAAATGTATAGAGGGGATCTCAATCCGACAATCACATATGGGATGTGTGTGAAAGTATTAGAGAAATAAGTATGGGCTGGGCATGCACAACAACTAAAGACACCTTATAAATGAGCCAGACAACATGGATTGGCAAAATCACTATGGGGATTGGAATCTGAGGATCTGGCATGATTTGGATCTTGATCCATTAAGATTATATAAACAGGGATTTTTTGAGACTTGGATCCAGATCATACGATCCAAATCCGGAATTTGATAACCATGTTTTCAATCCTTCAATTCATTTGGCTTCAAATGAACTCTTACAAAACCTATGACCTTATTTGCCATTACATTAAGAACACCTCTTTCCTGAATTTTTAGTAACTCCGCCTTCTTTCAGCAAATCTTCTTTCAACCTAAAACCAAATACAAACACCACAACCACTTTTATATCTATCATATCTGAGAATCTTGTTATAACCTAACCCAGCACAAATTTAATGGTACGCAGCTCTATTGCAAGCTTGCAAAAACCATTCCAAATACTCGGGGTTTAATAACTATGGTTCGCTTTTTGCTGAGCTCAACATAAGTCTCATTTATGTGGTGCTCACGCAGCATGGGGAGTATGTAGAGCAGTGTGGTTTTAAGATATAATTTGTTCCAGTTAAATTTAGAAATAAAGTGGAAGGTGGAAGATGATTAGATTAGATGAAAACATGTATGCTTTTTATATTCAATGCATCTGCGGATTGCATTCCACTTTTGTATCCGTAATTAATTTGGTTGGTAACGTGAAATAGTGGATAGCTTTGTAAATTGGATGGTGGTTGATATCTTGCAACGGCTATTTTGTTAATAATTTTTTTGTTATTTGGTGAAAGTAAAACTTAATACTCCTTTGATGGCCATATTACTTGTTTCGTAGTTGTTCAAAAGAAAAAAAAAATGAAAAACTGCTGTTTGTATGGATAATGAGAGGTTGTTAGTCATTTCATTTCTTTTTCTCATTCTACTGTGGATTTCTTTTTATAATTTCTAAAGTAGGAAAGAAATCCTTCAACTGCTTATGATTGCATTAAAGATTTATGTGGATTTTCAGTATCAGGAAACTCTGTTGGTGTGTGACGCATGTGTCTTGCACAAACACATAAATAGACATGCTTATAATGGATTGTTTGGCTCTCTGTCATTGTAGATTCAATAAATATGTCATTCCTTTGAATTTGGTAGGTAGCTGAGTTGCACACTTGGTATTAAATGCCTTTTCTTTTACTGCTTGTAGATACAATTTAGATTTTTTTAAGTATTTTTGTCCATTTGATCATTTATCCCAGGGCGTGTTTATTCATGTTTTGTGCTATGCTCGAAATGCAGGCAGGAAGACCTACGGAGGCCATTTGGGCAATTTGGTCCTCTTAAGGACATTTACTTGCCAAAAGACTATTATTCTGGGTGAGCTTGTGTAGCTTGCGCATTTAGATTTGCAGATTATTGTGCTCATTTAAATTGTTTCAAAATGGAGCTTTGCACATTCCCTTTTGAGCATGTATATGTGTTTCATTACATCAAGCTACCGCTTCTTTGCTTTACACTTTCATCATGAACTCTCTTTTTAATTTTGCTCTGCTGCTTATTCATTTTCTACTCTTCTATTGTTTCTAATTGGGTTGCTGTACTAAAGCTGTTGAGATTTAACAGTGAAATAAAAGTTTTGAAGACTTCAATCGAGTAATAAGAGTTCTCTTGACACATTCAAGTAGTAAGAGTTCTGTTGACTTCAATCAAGTAGTAAGAGTTCTGTTCAAGGTGATGTTAATGGTAGTGAAGATTTGAAGGGGATTGGGTTTGAATAGATTTTGAAGAATTCAAGTCTTGAAGAATTTCGAGACATCTTAAAATTGACACTTGCAAGGTCAGCAGCCGTGTGCTTGCCTATTTGCTTATAATGGCCTTCCATGTTATTGGGTATTGTTTTAGCAAGTTTTATTACTGAGGGTAAGAGGCTACTGCACTATCTTCTTCAGGAGAAATTCAAATCTAAGTTGGGTTTTGAATTTCTTCAGGCACTCCTGTTTTCAGGTTGAAGATTGACTGCCACAGTGTTATTTTAGTTTACTGAACACAGAAAATTCATACCTTGTCAGACTAGTGTTCTGACTGGGCTTTTGAAATTTTCAAACAGCCCCTGAAGGTGTGGCTTGGGTGATGACCCATCAGAGTGTCATCTTTTTGATTTTTCTGATTTCTTATTCTTTCTATTTTGATCTCTATTGCAGGGAGCCACGGGGCTTTGGTTTTGTCCAATATGTAGATCCTGCCGATGCTGCAGAAGCTAAATATCAGATGGACGGGCAGATTCTTCTGGGCCGGCAGCTGACGGTTGTATTTGCTGAGGAGAACAGGAAGAAGCCATCTGATATGAGAGCTAGGGATCGTGGGAGGTGAATTTCAATTTTGTGTTTAATTCTTTAAACCTTGCCTTACTTGAACTATTTTTGGTTAGAATGTAAATATCTCTTTAGGATTTATTGCCTACCTAGTTTTAGCAGGGAATTTATCTTGGTAGAACACATCTTCACTAGGCATGCCACAGAATTGTAGTATTAGATGTTATGGTGGCATCTGGATTTCAGGTGTATTATTCAATACATGTAAATGTCCCATAGCCATTTAGCCTAGTGCCTAGCATAGTTTTCGAGTTTTTGGATCTACTATGGCATAATGCCTGGTGCAGTCTATTTAACTCAAACGTCCTTTCAGAAGATGAATCAAAATTTGATAGGTGAACAAGGATGATTAAATATATCAGTTCCCTTATAATGCCTTAGCTTTGTTACGAAATAGGGCTAGTGTGCTACAAAATTTGTTAAGCATTGTTAGTTTCTTACAAAAATATTGGTTGTCTGCTGTTCATCATTGCACACCTATGTGTCTTTTTAATATTTCAGGGGGGGTAGATATGACCGAAGGCGGTCTCCTGCTCGTTATTCTCGATCTCCACCACCGCGTAATGCAAGATCACGATCCCGCAGTCTTGACTACTACTCCCCGCCTCCAAAGAGGAGACAGTACTCAAGGTATAACATACAGTTCTGTGTGCTGTGTTTCACTGTACAGTTCAGGCTTTCTTAAGGTATTGAGACTTCTTTTTACCAATGCTCTACAAAATGACCGTAGCTCTGTAAGTTATTGTTGTTCTGCTTTGTATTGTACTAGTACTGTATTATTGATTGCCTTGTTTATTTGCTTACAATTAAAGTTTCAGGTGCTCATTACTTTTTGATGTTCTCCCGTTCTTTCCATTTTATGGGGTCTATTTATTTATTTAGTTTTTTTAAAATAATTGTGCAGGTCTATTTCACCTCGAGGACATGAAAGGTCACACTCGCAGCATAGTCGAGAGAGGTCATACTCGCGTTCTCCAGGAAGGGATCATTCTCCACCACCCTTTGATGACTTGAGGGATCGCAGCCGAAGTCCTGTAAGGGGGCGTTCTGCAGTTGGGGATCGAAGCCGAAGCCGAAGCCGAAGCCCATATCCTGTGGAATACTCAAGGGAACCAGTCAGAGATGAGTCCCCTAGTCAGTGAACAATGCAGGAGAGAGATGCCCGTAATGCTGCCTGCTAGTGTTGACTTTCTTCCGAAAGGTACAATATATATTTATGTTGAGTCAGTTGATGTAGTCTCTAATTGGATTTGAAGGTGGATGTTAAAATCTACTTTAGGACAATTTTTTTTTCCTTTTGGTGCTTTGGTTTGAGAATTTCTTGGATTGAAGTATTTAACTATCTCCGAAGGTGTCTGGTTTAGTTTTACCATATGTTTTTTCTTTTTATTGTTTATTACATTTATCAAAAGTAGTATATTTATATATAATAAAATAGCTTATAATTCAAATCTTAAAAGATAAATAAAATGACTTTTATTATTTGCGGTTAGATCATTTTAAATATTATTTTAAAATTAATCTAACAGTTAATATTAATATCCTAAATTTAATAGAAAAAATGGGTTTCTAAGTGTGTATTTGGAGCGATTTTTTAAAATTATTTTAAACATTATTTTTCATAAATACTTTAAAAAAATAGTGTTCGAAACTGTCTCATCACTATCTCACCACCACCACCACTACTACCATCGCCGTAGTTGTTGCCATTTCTACTGTTGTTGTCACCACCATTGTCATTATCACCACCATTGTCGTCGTCGTCTCTATCACCACTACCTCCGCCCCCCCCCCCTTTCCATTGCCACCACCACCCCCATAACCGTCATCGCTATCGCCACCATCTCCACCACCATCATCACCATTATTGTCGTCGTTATTTCCGCCACCACCATCATCATTACGGTCATTATCAGCCATCACAATTATTACCGTTTTCTACGATCACTACTACCGCTCACCACCTCGCACCCTTATTATAGATTGATGTTTAAATTTTTTTATCTCTTATCTATGATTGTGATTTGATTTTGGATATGAGTATGAATATGTTTATTGTTTATTATTTTTTATTACTCTGTACCTTTAAGCATAGACAATAACTAGTATATAATAAATTAGTTTACAATTCAAATTTTAAAATATAAATAAAATGACTTATTTTTCGCGGTTTAGATTATTTTAAATTTTACTATGAAGTAAATCTAACGGTTACTATTAACACCCTAAATTTAATAAGAAAAATAGAGTCTTAAGGGTGTTTGGAGTAATTTTTTAAAAATATTTTTAGAAATTATTTTTCATAAGTACTTTAAAAAAAAAATGTTGAAATCATCTCACCACTACCTATACCACTACCACCACCACCCTGACCACTATTACCTCTATCATCACTGTCATTGTCGTCGTTGTCACCACCGTCACTGTGGCCACCGTCGCCACCATCACCACCATCGTTGCCACCATTGTTGCCGCCGCGCCCCCAGCACCACTACCACCATCTCCACCATTGTCGTCACCCACCACTACCACCACTGCCACCACCATCATCTCCATCACCACCACTATTATCGTCGTCGTGCCCCCAGCACCGCCACCACCATCACCATTACTGTCGTCATCCAACCACCATCACCATTACTGTCGTCATCCAACCACCACCACCGTTGCCTCCACCACCACCGTCATTGCCGTCACCACCCATTACAACCATCACTGTCTACTAACACCACCACTATCGCTCACCCCCTTTCACCCCCACTATAATTAATACTTAAATTCATTTATCACTTCTCTATATTTGTTATTTAATTTTGGATATGAATACAAATATATTTATTATTTACCATTTTTTGTTACTTTGTGCCTTAAGGCACAAGTAATAACTAGTATATATATACATGCATGTGTACTATTATGCAAACTATTGATCTTGGAGAAAGGAGCAAATTCAATTAAAAAATAAGAAAGACATTTAATAACGATTATTTTAAAAACTAGAAAATAAAAAGTATTTCAGGAAGATGTTTTTAACATTACCTTACATCTATATCTATATAATAAAAGAGGGTGAAGTTTGAATTCAAAGACAAAGAGTGGTTGATATTATTTCGTGATAAAATAAGGTCTCATCTAACAGATAATGTTATTCTATTTTGTCTCAAATTATTGATGTCTCTAATTATTTCGATACAGCGTACTAGAGTAGTTCTTCAAATTGTTTTGTCCCTCAAAAAACAATTTTCATAATTAACATCCAAGAATTTAGTTCTCTCAATTCATTCCCAAATATCAAGCAATTTCCAACCGGTCAACACAAGCAAACCTTATAGACGCTAGTTCTAATTTTTGCCTCTCTCTCTCTCCAACTCACAACACATAACGCAACGAACACACAACAGGTGATCTCTCACACTCTAATTTATGCAGTGAGGCAATCTATTTGATCTGCCGTCCATAATATTAGTTGATCTTGGTGATCTCTTTTCCATACCAGAAAGTAATTGCCCTAATTTGCCGCCTATTTCAAACCCTAATGTCTTCTCCAATTCTCCTTTCTTCCTCCAAACTCCGCAAGCCACTACTCTCTCTCTCTCTCGCACTCCCTATTATCTCTCTGTGCGTCCCGCTGCTGCTCACGCATTCCTCAGGTACGTCTTCTCTCTCTATTTCTCTAGCTTTTTTTGTTCATGTACACGCACAGACACACATACACACACGAACGTGCATACAAACATAAAGCGGCATAGCACACACTTTAAAACCTTATTCTTGGAGTTCACTGTCACTTTGTGTTTCGAATTTCAGAGACCCCATGAACCGTTTATTTGGATTTCAATTCAAGATACTTCCTTTTGTGTATACCAGTATTGAATGCTTGAATGCACAAATTTTGAATGATAAACTTGATATCTAAAAATTTTGAGTTAACTATCACTTTGAATGCTTCGAATCTCAGTGTTTGATGATCTGGGTCTATGTTGATGTGTTTTGCTTTACCAATCTCAGTGTTTTGCTCACATTCTGTAATTACGGTTTGGGTGGACAAGGCTTTCGTAATTTGGGTTTGAAAGTTCGACGAATTAGATTCTAGCCACTGAAAATTCACTGCATTTGGGTGATTTGGTGCTGGATTAGACTCAGAATTGTTTATTGCTCAAACATTAATTTTGTGCATGTGCAAGGTGAGCTTTGTTTTAAATTTTAAGATATTAGTTGGTGCATACATGCGTTGCACTTGAATTATTTTAAGTACAAATTAATGTATGTCTAAGTTGTGAATAACTTTTTTTCAAAATTTACTACATAAGTAAACACAGATGATCTTATAAATAGCAAACTAACTCTTGTGAGTCCATTCACACTTTTCAATTTTTTTAGATATCTATTCACTAAAAAGCTAATAACATTATATATACTAATTCACATGCTTGAAATGACAATTAGAAATTGAGGGGATAAAAATATAAAATAAGTTGTGCAAGTTTCATTTTCATAACCATGAGCAGAACGCAGATAACTACATAGGAATAGGGATTCACTCCAAGGGGTTACAAGAGTGAACAAGGAAAATTGGTTAGTTTTTTTGGTTTTGAACGTTGTTCATGTGTTTTATAATGTCATGCAACCCCTTTTTCTGACCTTAATTCTTGTTTGTGAGAGCAGACATAAGGCGCACAGCATCAATGTAAGTTTCACGCTACGTGTACTAAGATGTCGTTGCAATATATTTCCATTATGTTACAGTCGTAACGATTGTTTGTGAAGGTAAGGACTCTCAAGCAATTGAACAAAACAAGCTTTACTTGGTTCCTCCTTGGCTGATGTCCCATATGGCATTGAGTTCTTCTAAATCTATTAATATGGCCATCTTTAAAATGTAGTTTCTTGACACTATGCTATCATAATAGAAGCATGAGTAAGTGTAATCTACACATTGTGTTTTTAAAGAGGTGTCTCAGATATTGTTGTCATCATAACACCATAAAATTTTATGAGATGGGATGTAGACCAAGAACGGATATGGAGCTTGGATCGCAACATCAACCAAACAAATTTAGTCTAAACCATGACTGCAATAGGGTGTTCAACCCAACAACAAAAATTGAAATGCGGTTAACTTTCACTTTTCTCCTCCTAAAACAATGAGAAATTTGGTTTGATACAAATAGTGCAGACTATCACATGAGCAAAGTCCATTTTGAAAGGAATTAAACTACTCTTGCTTTTGTTCCTCAAATGGGGAGGAGGAACACATGAGGCCTAAGAATCCACGCATAATAGCTTTAGCTACATTAGAAAATGCCCCACAAATTTAATGCAATTGTGCTTGTACGTGCTATGTGAACATCAATTATAATATTACCCAATGAAAAACACAAACATATTCCATTCAAAATATGTAAGTTATCCCAAAATGATAATGTAAACCTTTTTTATCGTAAACAAGAAAAGATCAATATAGATGTCAAATAAAAAAAACTTGTCGCCAACATGAATAATACAATTAAAATCATCTTGAAATGGTATGGGTTTTATGGTATGTGAAGGTGTACACTGAGCAGATGAAGTTAAGACTAAGATATGCATGCATAATTTATGTGCATTGATAAGAATTGAATTGTGTCAAATTACGGACAAGGGAAACTGAATGAAATGACATGCCAGGGGCAAGTATGACCTAGTCCTGATAAGATAGTTATAAATGACTAAAGCATTGAAACAAACTAAGAGATTCTCCACAAATATTATAGAAGATGCGAAAAAATTCCCCACAAAGATAACAAAATATACTTGACAACTTTCGCCCAGTTGTCGCCCTGATTTTGTGATAATATTTCCATCAAGTTCTATAGACACAATTTCTTAGAAAAGTTCTAGAATATTGCTACTGAGAAAGTTTCCTATCTTCAGGAGTGATGGTAAGAGAATTTCAGATGCAATATACCACTGCTACATCAGTTAAAATTTTTATAATATATATAATATCAATCAATTTATCGAAAACTTGTGTTATGTACGCTCACAAAATATTTTTGAATTAAAAAGTACTAGAGCTTACCTTAAACTATTACGTGTAGTATGTTTGTGCTTTTGTTAATTCTTGCTTTCACATTTGCAGCAGAGACTGCAATTTACAAATTGTACAAAGAAATCAACTTTTGCACTTGCCAATATCCCGTAAAGAAAAGAATAATATGTTTTTTCGTCCAATGGTTCATGTGAGATCTTTTTTGGAAGTTTATACTTTGTACAAGGAGATTATAGAGTGCAATTGAGCATACCACTCAAACTGGTGTAGTATTGAACACTATGAAGTACCAACCCTTCAATCATCCAATCAAGTGGTAATAACTTTCTTTATAATTCTTTCAGGTTTGACAGCGAAGTAACCTCT